ACTTTTGGCTCCAGAAAAATACACTTTTCATTATTTAGTTTTAAGTTTATTTCCTTGAAATCTCTGGTAAAAATTTTATGCTAGTCGCTAATCATGCTCTTTTTGGTTCTTCCCAAACACCAAAGTGTCATCAGCAACATTGATAATGCCATCTAATCCTTTCAAAGTTTCCAATCATTTCTCTCTGAAACCGTTTTGTAGCTGAAGTTATTCCCATAGGCAACCTTTTTGAAGGCAAATCTCCCAAATGGTGTCATGAATGTGGTCAGTAAACTTCGATTCGTTGTCCAGAGGTATGTGGTAAAATCCGGAGGTGGGCGTCCAATTTGCTAAAAATTGCCTCTGGGTATATTTGAGCCAGTGATTCCCACAACATTAGGTAATTCAAGATGTTCGGTTTTGACGCTTTTTGTTTAGTTGTGTAGTTGTGTGTAGTCAACACATATTCCCCCCCCCCCCGGTTTTGGCACAGCCACTATAGGTGCACACCATGCAATTGGTACTGTTACCTTGAATATAATGTCTTGCTGCTCGAGGACATTTAAGTTTTTTTGACACTTTCTCTCTTAAGTGTAGAGGCACCCTGCAGAGGTGTAGAAATAGAAAAGTGTTCTGCATCGCTTTTCAGTGTTATGTGGTAGTTTTTGCCTAAATTTCCTATACCTTGAAAAAGTTCTGGATACTGACTTGCAACTGTTACAGAATTTACCCAGGAAAGCATTCTCAGGGCTTCGCAAGCATTTCTACCTAACAAATTTTCTCTAAGATTTTTGACAACATAAATTTTTGAAAAATGTACCATATTTTTCAACTTTAAATGACAATCTACAGGGCTTACTATGTTTAGTAAATCTCCGGAAGCTGAAAGTAAAGGCTTTTCTAATTTGTTTAATTTTGTAGGCTTAAGTTGTGTTAGCATGTCTGACTTGACTACACTAAATCAGCTACTGTGTCAATTTTAAATCTGACTTGTATGCCATTAATATCAACATTTACTTTCCAGGGCTCTGAATATTTATCAGTAATTTCCCCTAAGAAATAAAAATCATCCTCGCTTTCTTTCTCTTCCGAAGTTATTTCGCTTACCTGTGTGCGGTTCTGAGGTTTGGTGCTTGGTAATGACAAGCATTTTGTGGCCCAATGTCCTATATTGCCCCATTTCCTGCAGCTGTCATTCTTTGCTGGGCAGTTTGCAAAAGGATGTCTGAGTGTAATCCCACATTTCCTGCAATCCTTGTTAGGCTGAGAAGCATTCGTTTTATCTCGCCTCAAATATTGACTAGCTGAGTTATTTTGGTAGAGGAAAGTCGCCTAATATTGGATACTTTTTTTTAAACTGTAAAATTATATCAAAAAAACATCCCGACATTCGTGCCAGTTTAATGGAGTTATAGCATAACTATATATTATCAGTTAATATGGTCGGCAAAAGAATAAAAAATTATTTTAGGAAGTAATTGAATATTTTTAAAAAAATTCTGAATTTTGTCAATTTAAAAAATAGTAGCCTAATATTGGGATAGGGTATCCACTATTAGGAAAACCATTTTTTTATTCAAAGGCTATTGATAATTTCAAAATTTTTAAGCACTAAGTCATATTTGCTTTATCCCATTGCTCTCTTCTCTAAGTAGCTATTTCTGTAAACAATATATTATTGAAGTTGATATCAAAGCATTGCCTAATATCGGATATCCAATATTGGGAACCTGTGACTATCAATTAGCTATCCAATATTAGGCACATCATAAATTTTTTAGGTTATAATTATTTTGGACAAAAAAAAAATAAGATTTTATTAATGAAAACTCTAGAAAAATTTACTCATAACATGCAATAGCCATCCCATTTAGAAATATTTAAAATGTTTATCTTTCAACTGATAATTCAGCTCTTAAAATAGGGAGCAAATAATTTTCATACACCCACATTTCATTTAAATGTCGTTTATAACAACATAGTCTATTATAGAACTCTGCAAACTTATTAGTGGGGTTTTAAGGTGTAACGCAGCTTCTGGTTACTAGAAAGAAGCACATATACAGTTACGTTATTAAAATAGGTAGGTATCCAATATTAGGCAGTATCCTAATATTAGGCGCCTTTCCTCTATGTGTTTCCGTGTTTGTTACCTTGGTATTTGCTGACTTTTTCCCTGTGTCTTTCAGCACATACAGGGTGTGACGTCCCACTAAGGCCGGCCAGGTACGATATTATGGAGACCATAGACCATACGTAACTTGAAAACGAATGCAGATAATGAATTACGGTTTGCGCCAAAATGTAGATATTTTTTGCTCTTTAAGCATAGCAATACAAAAATAATATCATGCCATCTGGATTTTTCATGAAAATTAGAAAAAAACTGGATTTTGGATAAACAGCGCCCTCTAGAAGACGCGGATGGAATTATCGACCTCGAACGAAGTGGTGTTTTTAATAACAATGAAATTCTCTTCCAAATAAGCCCAAATTGAATGAGTTTGGATGAGGGGTATGGAAGATACAGCAATTTCTAAAACTATTTTTTCACCAGCTTCCCCCACCCCTATTAGTGAAGATACGGAAAAAAGCCTAATAACCAAACTGACGCAAAAATTAATGAACTTTTGATTTCTGTTGTTAAAACAGTATCTTAATACAGCGATTTCTTGAGAAAAGTTGAATTTTTAGCTATATCATCGTAATAGCGCCCCCTAGCGGTCATCCTAGAAACTTGAAAATAATTTCCATCAATTTCTCTTGGTCGATTTAGTGAAGAAAAAACAAATCCCGAAGCGTAAGGTCTATGGTTTCCATATCATACCTGGCCGACCTTAGTGGGACACCCTGTACATAGATAATTTACTTCAAATGTGTTTGATGATGCTAAGTCAGAAGTGCCAGGGATGTTGGCTGCTCTAATAACATCTTGTTGTTTTTGTAGGGATTCTGCCAACCGCACTTTCCGAATAACTTCAGCTGTGGAATCATCAGGGTGCGAATGTAGTTGCATCGACACTCTACTGTTGGCCAAACCAGCGATTAGACGAAGCTTAATCATCTCTGTTTCCAAGGCCCCCCACTCGCATGTTTGTGCTAGAGTGGTGAGATCATTAATAAAATCGTCACAAGGTTCGTTTTGTTCTTGACTTCTTTGCAAAAACTTGTTCATAAACTAAATTTTTCTTTTGTGTGAAATAATCATCAAATTTATTCAACAATAGGTACGTCATAATTCTTTAATTAGGCATTCCAACGACCTGTCAAAAAGTGCATTGTTCATTATCCCGTATATGAGAGTATGTAATTTAAAGCTTTTTAAAGTGCATTTTGTGGTTGTTTTGTGAATGAACTCTGTTTATTTTTTATGTTTCTCCCAATTAAAAATGCCACAAACGGGTCTTGAAGTTGATTGTGGAAGTAGTTTCAACAAGGCAGCAAGGATGATGTCAGGCTTTTTTCATTGCCCTTTGTTTTAAAATTTTCCAATTAAAACGTGAACATTTTTCACTACCACTGTTCCTGCATCTGAAATAAAGCCATTTTCGAAATATTCGTAAGAATCTAAGCTTTTGTAGGCCTTCATTTGCTCATCAATGTGAACTGTGGATCAAAATGTCATCTGGACATTTTTTTTTAACTAACCGTTCGCCCAGATCCCGATTTTCCTGCATTCAAGTCTTCAAATATTCACTCTGCATCTCAAAAAGTATATTATAACAAAGTAAACTGTAATTAGCTTGAAAATATTCCAAATAAACTCAAGATAAACAAACAAACGTCAAATTTTCCACGGTCGCCATATTGAAAAATCACGTGGTTTGGAGAGCCTAATTCTGTGTCTGACAGATGGAAAGATTCTTAAATGCATCCTGATTTTGGCCCTAAATAAGCCACCAGGTAGTCCACCTGTTGTTCGGAAGTGTAACTATCCAGTGCCGTGCGCTTGTAGCGCGAAAATCTCGTTTTCCAATCGGACCAGTGCTCTGCCTGATATGAGAATTCTCCAGGAGGTGGTACGACTGGTTGAATTGCAGTTATCTGCGTTACCGACGGAGGAGCTGCTGCTGCATTTTGCTGGGCAAGGACGTTTTGGGCGTTGGCATTTATTTGTGCCGTTTGCAATTTGATTAATTTATCAATCAGAGCATTCTGCTGCTGGATGTGTTCTGCCATTTGTTCTGCACTGGCCCTGGTTTAATCCGTGCCCTACAACTACTTGAGGAGAACGGTTTATTTTCACGACACACACGAAATTGAGTCACAGATTTCCACTTCGACACTGCCCTGTCCGACACCAGGGTCTCGACCCGATTTTCGACGATAATTCCTTCCGCCCGGCGATTAATTTTAGGTATAAAACGCGAGGCAATATTAGCACTCACTAACAATGGCCTAAACACGACCGATTGCTTCGAAATTGTGGGTGACAACTCACGCTGCCACCATGTTGTATTGAGCTCCAAGCGCTCGTTGGTTCCTTGATGAAGTCCATCTCGTGCCGAGTAGCTGCTCCGCAGCGTTAAGGTCGGTATGGACGTAGCGTCGCGCTTACGATTACGCTTATGCCACAGTCCGGATTAATGAGTTTGATTTTATTATCATCTGTTAAAAACTAAATTTATCATTTATAGAGATTTTGGTTTACAAATGACCAAATCAAAACATATCATTTGGATGAAATCTGGAGTGATATTGGACACAAGAAAAAGATAAGCAAACAGAATCAAACCATCTTGTTCTCATTGGAATTTCCTTTCGATTTTTATGAATTTGAAGATTTTGAATCAAGCTTCTGCCCATCTGTGGATTCCATGTTAATTTCTGACCAATTTCCATCGCAATTGCTTCAAATAATTTTTAGAGTGAATATTTTTTAAAAAATACAACACCATCATGCATCTAATTGATGCACGCTTTATCTCCAGGTGACACCTTCTCGTTAATTAAAAGCACAAACTGTTGTTTTGACTAAGAAAGAAAAAAAAAAAAGCACAAAAATCCCAGCCAGTCGCAGTCCCGTTCCCTCCGCTACGGGCAAGAAATTAAAATTTTATCTCCGAGCAAAAGTCTCGAGCTTAAAGTTTTTCCGTATTTCGTCCGAGCAAAACAGTTTTATTATACTGAGACATGTTTATACAAATTAGCGGTGCGAAATTTTAACTGCTAGTGGGAATATTTATTTTTATCTCTAGTCTTAGTTGTGACGGTATTTTAGCTTTTTTACTTTGGACGAGGAAACTGGAAAAGTTTCGGAATTTTCAGACAAAAGTCGAAAGGTAGGAAAACATTATTTGACCAGATTAATGAGTAGTAGTTTTAAATCGTATATAAGTGAGTGAATTTATAATCAGGTATTGAATCACATTGATTTGAGAAATGTATGAGGAAACTTTCTTCATCTCAGTCTCTCATATAAGTTTCCTTAAAGATAGAGCTCTTCAGGTTGTTGAAGGATTATGAAGTCTTTTTAGAAGCTGATCGTATTTATTTGGGAATCTACCACTCTAATAGCACAGGAATTATCAAAAATCGTCCTGAAAATGTATACGATCGAACGTCAAAACGTTTTAAATACATGTAAGGTAACTATGAGAACGTCCAATGAAAGTTTTTCGAATGCCACAAATTCAAACATCATATACTAATGTGTCCCGCTTAAGGACTGACCCACCCTTCTAAAATAATTTTTTTTTCTATTTGAAAAGGCCATTTGGCATTGATGTCAGGGTTGTTTTCCACTAATGTTCTCTCTCTTCTCTATCAATTGGTAAAGTAAAAATTGAGCAAAAGTGAGAAATCAAAAATTCGAGTTTTTTTATGTGAATTTTAATTCCAAAATCTTTAAACCTCAATTGCTCAGTAACCCTTGGGCAAATTGCATTGATATTTTTGAAATTTGTAGTTCTTATTAAGCTCTAAATGGCCTGTAATTTACAATATTTCTAAGTTTATAGTTTTTGAGCAAATTGAGTTTGAAGTTTTTGACAAAATTTGGACTAAAAAACAAATTTGAGTTTCAATTACTCAAAAACTCTTCGAGCTATCCAACTCAATACTGCACGAATTTATAGAGAATTCAATGCTCTTTTCAATGGTTTATATTTGATTTTAATTTGCTCAAAATTTGACAAAGATATGGGCAATTGCTCATGACCATGTCAAGATTTCGAAATTTTCTCAGAGCCAAAAATAATTTCCTTTCTAATTTTGTTTCTATTTAAAATGTCGATTTGGAATTGATGTCAGGATTGTTTTCCACTAATTTAGACCCGCTCTATCGATTGGTGAAGTTGAAATTGAGCAAAACTAAAAAATAAAAAAATTGTATTTTAATAAGGGTACTTTTTTCGAATTCTCAAAGCTAACTTTGAGACTCAATTGCTCGAAAACTATTTGAAATATCAAGCTCAATTTTACACAGATTTATAGAGAATTTATTGCTCTTTCAAATAATATATAATTTATTTCAATTTGCTCAAATATCCAACCAAGATCTGGGCAATTATTTCTAACCGTGTAACCAAAAATAAACATTTTTTTAAAATAATTTCAATCCAATTCTAAGGTGACTAGATTCGAATCGAAGCTCAATTTCTTACTTTAATTAAGCTCAAAATGCGCCCGTTCCTCACAAGTTTGAGCGAAACTGGAAAATAAATCATGATGTCCTTTATTGAAATACCCAAAATTGAAGCCAACACTAGAAGGAAGTCAAAGACGTTCCACGGTACTGTAAAGTAGTGGTATCCCCGCCGATCATCTTGACGATGACCTCTAGAAATTTTTTCAAATTAGTACCAACTATAGACAAATAGTACCCAATTCAAATACTGTAGTGTAATGAAAAACATCGCATTGATCCATTAAATTTTAAACATATATTGTTGTGACCACTCTGTAAATAAAAATTAGTATACTTATTTGGGTTTACCATTCTAAACAAGACTTTGCTATCAGATTTTTCATAGAGAAAATCCTGAATAGTACCTACTTATTGAGCCCATAAATGTGGCTTGCAGTTAGAAGGGTGGTCAGTCCTTGAGCGGGACACACTGTAGATGAACATTTCAAAAACGAAATAAGACGTCTTTCAAATGTCTTCTAGAACATCCAACTCATTCTTCTTGGAACAGTCAAAATGTCTCAGACGTTCTGCTTTCTATTTGACTGACGAAATTCTGGAAAAATTTCATTCCATTCACCAAGATAATGATGAAAAGCAATATTAAATAAGCAATGTATGTTGTCATCGCAAATCTTAATATTCTTGTTCAGGTTGTCAAAAAATAATTAATTAAACCGGATTTGATCATCTCTCCTCTCCATTGTTCTCCATAGGAAAATAATCAAGCCGTTGCACCTAGAGAGCCGAAGGAAGTGAGCAAGTTTTTGAAAAGTTTTAATAAAGAAGCGACGAACTGCCATCGAGGGACCCAGAGAGGCAATTAAGGACCTTAATGGACACCGTGCACGAAGAAAATAGGTAAGAGGGAACTGTTATGCTAATTTAGGGTGGCTGGGGGGCCGATTCGATGCGATAGTCTAGTCTCTTAACTAATCGGAAGGCAAGTAGGGGCACGATAAGGGAATCCCACCGAATATGGGTTTTTAATTATACATTTATATCGACTCTTTTCCTTATAGACGGAAAGTTGGTTTTGCGAAATGCAATCATAACGACGATATTTCTGAAGACGATGAGCCTATAGGTGCAGAAGAAATGTAAGTTGGTTGTCATATATGTGTCTGTACATTTACTTGAGTTACTTCTCTCTAGACAAAATGAACTAATCTATTCAGTTGCTCATTTCTAATTATGTTTATAAAGTTTGTGAGGCTTTCGCGGCCCAGGTGTTTTCATTCGGGCTTACCTAATGGTCGTCGTAAGTTGGAAGTGCTTTCTGACGTTTCACGTAGCTAGCATCTTTGGAGGTGGTTCTACGTCCGATTCTGGTAGAAGAATGACGCGTTCCCGACTGCAAGTTGTATTTATGTGTGAGCGGTTGTGGTGGGGGAGGGGCGGGGCTTCGCAGCATGTGGATAATCTGAAATTTCTCTGTACTCAATAGGATCTTGCGTTTTAGAGGATCTGGATTCAAATTTGGTTATGTTTTAGTGTTTCTCCTTTCCTGTTGAAGTTCTCCGTATGTTTGTGGATTTCTATAGTTTCACGTACAAGACGATTGTGGTATCCAGAAGTCGGCGCAATAAGCTTAACCTCAACCAGTGTTGCCAACTCGGTAGAATTTCCACTAGTTCTAGTGGATTTGAAAGTCGTCTACTGGAATGATTTTAGCAAATTCCACTATAGTGGTAATTTTGATGGGATCCACGGATTCTAGTGAATTTTTAGTGATATCTAGCTTTCGTTAGTTTTCGACTTTTCTTTTAAAAATTTCGTCACTAGAGCAAATAGTGCAAGCAGTTGCTTATCGTTCAGGTATAGCCAGAGTAGAGTAGAGTGAAAAGAGTTAACTCCACGAGTATCACCTCGCGAGATCACAGACTATGTAAAATCTGTTTTTTTTTTTAAAGATAATTCCCCAAGTCAAAAATTTAGTAACTATGTTGGCAACACAAGTCTTTTCTACATGAAAAATTTGAAAGCATTGACAATTTTACATTGTATTGCCAACTTAATGTCAGTTTGACTTTTATCTTTAAAAAAAAAAAACGCACTTTAACTGCTCTTTATCCGCTCCAACTCTGTTTTGACAAGCCGAACTCACCCATACCAAAGTTTCCCATACTCACAGGTGATGGTTTTATGTTAACTGTCAACATTGTCACTTTCAAATTAATTTATAGGCTGTGGTTTCGCGGGCCGAAAGTAATCAGATTACTCTGGTTCCTGGAAAAGTGGTTACTTTTGGACCTTGGTTTCATGAAATCTGGTTAATCAAATGTCAAAATAGTTACCGGCTATCAAATGTCGGTTCAGGTTGGTTTTATCTGTAAATTCTGTCAATTATTTTTTTATTTCATATTCGCGTTCCCCAAGTAACCAGAATTTTCAGTAACCATCTGTCAACCGATTTGGTTACTTTGATTCAAGGTTATTTAAAACGAGGTTACCTGATAACTTTTATGACGTCATCTGTATAGTCTGTATGCATCAATATAATACAAATCTCCTTAAGATACTTCAGATGCATCATCAAGCTACCCATTACCAGACAACCGAGCAGACAACCTACGAACTTTAGGAACTTTGACTTTGGTTATGCAAAGCAAATGGCCTTACCGTGCTGCCTGTTGAAACATACATAACCTAAGAACAGAGAAAAGAAACCAAAAAACACAACATTCACTCATCAATCATCATTCATCAATCATTCATTCTACTTCAAAAATCAGCCTTACCAACACCCTGGGCCTGAACACTGAACACGTCACCTACAGAACCAGTCCCTTTTTGTCAATCCATATTTTAGGAGTTATTAAACAATAAAAAAATACAGAGAGAAGCGCTAAAAATTTCAAAAAACAATGGGAAAAATTTAGTAGATTTTCCACTAGTCCAAAAATGTTTCGCCTGCGGCGCTATATTTTTCTCTTTACTGGGTTCTAGTGAATTTGAATATAGTTTCTAGTGGAAGCTCTTGGATCAGATATGGCAACACTGACTTCAACAAATAGTATTTCGTGATTCCCTTGACTAAGCGCATTTTTCGCTACTGCACTACTTCCTAGTCTTTTGTGCTCGTTGATCCTGGTTCCAGTGGTTCCCATGGATCTTTTTGTTGTTCCTACCACTTTACCACATATGCATGGTATACGATAGACTCTAGCGCTTGACAGTGTCTTCCTCTTATCCTTGGCTGATCTGATGAATTGCTGTATTTTCCTTGTTGGCTTAAAGTTCGTTTGTATGTTGTGTTGCTTCAAGACTTTCCCTATCCTGTCTGTCACTCGAGAAATGAAAGGCAGATATGCATTAGCCACCACTGGTTGTTCATTCACGTTTTGTCGTGTGGCGGTTTTGGGTCGCATGGGCCTGTCAATTTCAGATGCATTGTATCCATTTGATAGAAAGGCCGACTTGAGATGATTCAGTTCTTGCTCCAGATGTTGTGGCTCGCAGATGTTCTGAGCACGTTCTGGTAACATTATAATTCCATGTTTTTGCATTGGATGGTGGTTAGAGAGTGCATGCCTGTCTGTGTGTGTGGGTTTCCGGTACACCGTGTGGCTTAGTTTTTGTTCCAGATTTCTTTATGAGTATATCTAAGAAAGCGATTTCTTGGGTTTTCTCCTTTTTCATGGTAAATGGTACGCGCATTTAAGTGGCCTAGGAACTGGTTAAGCTTCTCTTCCCCATAACTCCAAACCACAAAGGTATCATCTACATATCGACACCATACCGTTGGTTTGTGGTCAAAAGATTCGATAGCTCACCTCTCGAAATCCTCCATTAAGAAGTTGGCTATGATCGGACTGAGCGGACTTCTCATAGGTATATCGTCCATTTGCTCGTAGAAATCGCCGTTCTACAGGAAGTAACTGCCAGTGGAACATGTCCAGAAAAGCTGTACTATATCATTGGGGAAGGTTCTTGATATCAAGTCAAGATTGCGTCAATGATACTTTTGTGAATAGGGACACGACATCAAAGCTGATCAGGATATTCTTAAGTTGGAGAATAATATCCCTAGTCTGCTACCAGAATCGGAAATGGAAGCACCTCTGAAGATGCTAGCCACGCGTGCTAGCGAAACGTCAGGAAGAATTTCCAACTAACGACCGCCATTAAGCCACTTTATGTGTTTATAGTGTTCCATCAAAAAGTACACGTTCACCAACAACACAAACAATGGAATATTGTTTTCTTCATCCGCCTCAGCTGACAATTACTGACACTGATGCTCAACTGAACAGCAATAATTGTGATTGTGCTTACAGCGGAGATTCCAGCATTGTATCGTCGAGAAGACCAAGTGCTATCATTGCTGCTTTACGAAGACCATCACAGGTAACGCAAACTTCTATATCCAACAAAATATTATTAGATTTGTAGACCGTAGCATTATCTGCGGCACATGCCGTAATGAACCAAAGACGTTACCTATTGGGATTACTCAACGACAGTTCGACACAAAGTTTGAAAAGAGGAGACAGCAAATTTGATAAGATTAAAATGAGGTTTGCTAATAAATTAGAAAAGTAAGTTAGTGTCTGGAAAATATCCAAACAAAATCAGGTATTTTGTTTTTTAGAACTGGATTTACTGTTATTGTATCAGCATTGTATGCAAAAATGCTTGTGGTGATGGGCATAGCATTTCCAATAACAGAAGTCCTTTCAGCCAAAGTGCAACCATTCTACTATCAAGCCTTCTATTTGTATTTATATTTGGGAAGCATTCTTTTCATCACTTACGAATATATCAGTTTCATGAAGGAGCGAGCTGTTAATGACTTGATAAAAAATATTCGTAAGTTGAAAGCGTTTTCACTCTCAAGGCTGAGAATTTTCTTTTAGAATTTCCTGAAAGAGGTGAATTCTTAACCAAACCCAACCCAACTAAACCAGCCAAAAAATACGGAAGTTTCTTTTTGAGACTGGGCGCCGTTGGTAAGTATACTCGACAATATTAATAGCCAAATATTCTCCGATTTGCCCTTAACTGCATCGAGGGCTTTGATTACGACATTCTGCTGCTAAAGAGAAAGCGATTTCGAACTGTAATCTCCAATCGATTGGCTTTGGATTTAACTTAAAACCATTTAATGTCGCGGTTCAAAACAGATATTGCTCCGCAGAGAGGATTCTGTTCAAACCAAGAGAGGATACTTAATTCAAATTATTTTTAGCCTTTGGCATTGGAAGTATGGTCTATTCGGGTTTGGAATTTGGACGATACTTTGAGCTGAGAAATATACCAGAATGTAATTATACTAGTCTGCAAGCTATAACACCTGCCATAAGGATGATATTGACTTTATTGCAAGTGCAATTTATTTTTCTTAATCAAAAGGTATAAACTCTTGTTAATTATTAGTTTGATACACTATTCAATTTATATAGGATGTTGAATTGGATAGACACAAAATAATTTCGAGATTTGGCCTGATGCATATGATTGCTATGAACGTTTGTGAATGGCTCCATGTTATAGTCGAAGAAACTAAGCACGAAATAATGCACTTGTCAGGTAATGGTTGGTTTATTCTTGTAATACAAATTAATGATTATTGTTTAGGCCACCACAAAAATAATGGAAATTTTACCAACGTGTCGTTTCAATGTCCGGAAGGTGAACTGATGGGCGCTCTTGTCAACAATGCCAGTCCATTTTTGTTTCCATGTACAATCGAGTATAGGTAGGATATTTAGGATTTGTATTTTAATTTTTGATTTTTTCAATATTTAGTTTGATATGTGCGGTGATTTTGTTTGAAATGTGGAAGCATATTAAGCAGGAACAAGAACACAATGATAAAGAACATGAAAAGAAACATAAACACAAAACAGGTAATACAATAACTTCGTTTTCTACGTCAGTGAGTGATTATATTAAGTTGGGATATTACTTGAGTAACAGTGTGCAACATAATGGCATGTTTTTTTGCTGAACCCACTACCGGTGCGCATTTTTCCGTTTCCTATTTGGTTACCGCTACATGGAGTGCTAATCCTTTAGGACTTGTAAAATTATACCTGGCATCGCGTTTCCTATTAGGCCAGCGCACACCCTCTGCAATCGTCTGCAGACATCCATTGTAACGCATTATCGTTGTCATTTTTTAAGGTTGAATGGTATGGTTACAGGTGGTGCAATAATTTTGTAATATTTCTCGTTGTGTCTCGTTTTTATTGTTACTGTTGATTCTACACTGAGAAATCCTCTAGCCAAAAACTCTACTAATGGATTTTCGGCTATCATAGAGAAATTTTGGCTGTAATTGCAAAACGATCCTATTCTAGTAATAGAACGCAGTTTACTAAGTTAGCAAAAAGTACCTTGGTTGTAACAGTAACCTTCTTTACTGCCACTAATATTTTTTTCCTGCTACAGCAGAAACACTTATTATTAATAAGTATATTTTCTACCGCAAAGTGCTTGCCTGCAACTATGGAAAAGTTTTTCATAAGTTTTTTTTAAATTACTGCTGGAAAAAATTTCACTGCTACAAAACTCTGCAAGTTGTTTTATTAATTATTATTAAAAACCAACCCATCAATATCAAAAGTCATGTAACAGCATAAGGTTGCCAATATGGGCGTAGTTATTCAACTTACGTGCGCTGGTCTAATAGGGTCAATAGGGAACGCGACGTCAGATATAATTTAACAAGTCCTAGTCCTATAGGAGTAGCGCACCATGTAGCTGTAGACAATGTGCGCTGGCCTAATAGGAAACGCAATGCCAGATATAATTTTACAAGTCCTAAAGGATTAGCGCTCTATGTAGCGGTAACCAAATAGGAAACGGAAAAATGCTACCGGTGCGCTTCAGTGTTTTTCCACTTGATTAGTCTACTATACGACATTATTGTTTCCCCTGTCTCAAAAATAGGGTCCTGGCAGGAAGTAACTTTAAGTGCAGGCTCTGGCTCAATAAATGCAGAGCTGCTACCTTCACGAGCCAACTCGTGTCTTGCTCACCAACTAAATGTCTTACTAACCAACTAAATACTTTCAGAGTTTTATCAAAGGCAGGCAATTCGTGCCTTGCTCCCTAATTTTCATCTCTCTATTTTCTGCTTTGACCACTTTTAATTTATCAAACATAAACTGGGCTTTAGCCCACATCTCCCATAGTTGCTCCATCTTCTCTTGCATGGTGGTATTTGACTAATTTGAATTGAGTTGTATCACTTCTAGTTTCTTGTTTAGATAATTTTGTAATCTGCCAAAGCATCGTAATAACTCAAAAAATATATTGAACCATTGCATTCAATATTGTTTTTAGATGATCTAGGATCTAATAATGGAGGTTACCATTTTACCATCGATTGTTCGAACTCATATAAAGGACTCTTTGCTGGTAAAAAACTCCAAACATCATCAAACAATTATTATAACATTTTTATATTATTTTTTAGGAATATTGATAATAGTCCTGACAATAATTTCCTTAGTGATGTTTTTCGTTTTAACCGCTAAAAAACATGATGAAGATTCAGAAAACAATTATGCTGAAACTGAAGTAAACATTGTAGAGCTAGTTTTGTATGTCATTACTACTATAGCTGTATTGGTTGCAATGTTTAAGCTAAGGAATTTGAAATACGAACGAAAACTAGGTAATATAATTTTGTTTTAATACACTATGGGCTTAATGTTTCTGTTTCAGGCAAAGAAGGCATGAGCTTAGATGTAATGCTTTTATCTCTAGCACAAGTAGGAATGTTCATATATTCAATGTTTTCAATAATTGGTTGGTATTTTACCATGGAAGGTAGAACGCCAGTTGGTTTGGTTGCCGAGATATTTTCGTTTACACAAACTGTTTTGCAGGTAAGACCACCGTTGAAAGGCCATTTAGTAAATTAAAAATATTGATTGATATAATATATAATATACAGGGTGTCCCAGCCGAAAGTGAACAGTTTTAAATGGTCATAACTTTTAAACCAGATGTGCTAGCAACCTGCGGTTTGCGCCATTCGATTTCTCTTGGTCTAAAGTTTTTTCTAGTAGGTTGCAAAATTTTTTGAAATCTATACAGAGTAAAAAAAAATATCCGTTTTCCAACATTGAAATTCTCCACTATTTTCAATGGAACACCCTGTATATCACAACGTCAAAAAAAAAAGAATAATGTTCAAGGTATCCATGTACGGATAGACATAGTCCCTAAAACTTGAAGTTTTAACCGTGAAGAATCAAAATCGAAATCTTGGTATTTTCGCAAACGCATATTTACAAAGCTTGAAACTTATGTTTGCTCAATAAAAAGTTAATAAAAACTGCATAAAACAGAAATGCTGTATATGTATATATTAACCATTCTGTTCCAGGCATTTATCAGTAAATGGGTGAATGACGTGTGTAACATTTCCTGGGGAATCGCTTCAGTGACATTACAAATTTTTCGCTCTGGAATTCGTTAATTCATAAAATTTTCTTGGAAATTGTATTTTAACTTAATTGATATCTAACTAAACAGTTACCAAATTCTTTGTCATAGTTATATCAAGTACCTTCAACATGAGTTGCATGCGTTTGCAAAAATACCAAGATTTCGATTTTAATTTTTTACTTCTAAAGCCCGTATGACATCTGTGTATTTTTCTGTGAATTTATTCATGTAGTTCAGGGTGCCAACCGAAAAACTTCAAACGCAACATAAATCAGCATTATGAAAAACAAAATCATGTTGGCACCCTGAACTACATGAATAAATACACGGAAAAATACACATATGTAATACGGGCATAAAACTTCAAGTTTAAGGGTCGATGTCTATTGGTACATGGATATTTTGAATATGAATCTTTTTTTGATGTTGTGATATACAGAGTGTTCCATTAAAAATAGTGGGGAATTTTGATGTTAAAAAACTGATTTTTTTTTTCACTTGCCCTGTATAAACGAAAAATTTTGCAACCTACTAGAAAAAACTTTAGACCAAGAGAAATCGAATGGCGCAAACCGCAGGTAGCTAGCACACCTGGTTTAAAAGTAATGACCATTTAAAATGGTTCACTTTCGGCTGTGACACCCTGTATATAAACCCCATGATTTTTCTATTTTGTCTATCAGACATACCACAGCTTCCAATATGGATATTCGGTATTTAGTTGCTTCAAAAAAATTATCCATAGATAATCAAAATTTGAACTATTATCGGCTCTTGATTCTCTGGAAAACCTTCATAGAGCAAATCAAGAGCCGGTAATAGTCAAAATTTGAACTTCAACTCTGGATCCAGAACCAGGGCCGCAACTAGAACCCTCGGCGCCCAAAGCAAGTCCAAATTTTGGCGCCTCTCCACCGCCTTCTCAAAAGTAACAATAGATATATTTTTTGATGCTTTGGTTTTTGCTTGAAACGCAATAACAAAGGCTCATATTTTGAACCGATTCCGAACCAGTCTGGAACTAATTGAGGACTGTCGTAGAGCGCATGCCCAGCTCTGGAATCGGACTGGTTCAGAATTTTATAATTTTATCGCGAACAGTTTTGGAACGAGTTCTCCAGACTGTCTAATAGGTAAACGAACGTTATGTGTCAACCCTGAGGTTCTTGCTTAAATCCTAGGACCGCTAGAATTGGTTCAGAAACGGTTCCGAACCGATTCTGGTTGATCCGCGAATCCAGAACCGAAACTAAAAGTTCGGAATTTTGTGATCAGCGAACGCCATTACTTGAACTGCGCATGTGGAATAGTTTCGAACCAGTTCAGAATCCTTACCGCGAACGAAGCTATTGTAAAAGTAAGGGCGAGTTCTCATGAGCGTAACTTGACATTTCTGGCGTAATAACGTGATAATAAGGTGTAATTTGATTGGTAAAATCTCCAGCATGGCGAATATTTTACCAATTAAATTCAACCATTTTATCACGTGATCACGCCAGAAATGTCAACTTACGCTCATGAGTTCTCAAGAAAACGAAACGGTTGCAACCTTAACCTCTAAAAACGCTGAATTTTTAGGCGAAAAGTTGAACTTTACTCAACTTTTGGCGTATCTACGGCAGAGTGTCAGCGTATCCAATATGGCGGAATTTTGGCCAATCAGAATTCTGCATTCAGGTACGCTGTCACGCCATAAATGTCAAATTACGCTCATGAGAAGCCGCCCTCAAAGGTGTTTACAGAAACTATGATCGGGTTAACCCGATCACCAACAGACGTATTTTGTCTTTTTTCAATCGTATTTAATAAGGAAAGATAGAAAACATTTCCGCGAACGACTGGATAGAAAAGAGTCGAAAGAGATAATGCAGAGGGCGCCTACGTCGCCAACAGAGCTCTTGCTCAGTTTGGTCGGATTAAAGCTCGACAACTAAATCTCGAGACAATATCTGAGTGCGAAGCGCCGAGGTCAACCAATTCTCGAGACAATATGTGAAAACTTTCTACCGAAATATGTATATTATTTTAATTTGAACCATTGATTTTTGAAAAAAAAAAGGTAAAAATATGACGAAAATAGAATTTCGACTGACACTCTGACCGACTTTGACATCTTATGGAATTTCAACAATATAAACACATGTGACATCTATTTCTTAATACAAACATTACACCTGAATTTGTGTTTGATAGTTTGGGTGTGAAAGGGAAAGGACAGTTTAGCAGGGTCCTTATTCTTGAAACAGGGGAGCAATGTTCCCAGGAGAAAGCGTGTTCCGTCTTTCTCAATGATATGCAAATGACAACATAAGTAACAAAGACGAAACATTCGTTCTCCTGGGAACGCTGCTCCCCTGTTTCAAGAATAAGGACCCAAGCCGAAAGTGAGTTCTCCAGGGTCCTTATTCTCGAAACAGGGGAGCAGCGTTCTCCTGAGAACGAAGGTTCTGTCTTCGTCAATTATATTCATATTGCCATAACACTGACAAAGACAGAACGTTCGTTCTCATGAGAACTCTGTTCCCCAGTTTCGAGAATTAGGACCCAGGCGGAAAGTGACAGGAGAACTGTCACTTTCGGCCTGCTGCAAAGTAAACAAAAGTAAAGTGACATTTTCCAACCGTTCTGTGTTCGAACCTTCAAACCCAAACCAGAAGAAATGTGAAAATTACATATATGGTTAATTTCCGTGCTAGGACAAATGACGCGTAAAACCGTTGCATTTTTTTGGATTGTAAAATATGGATGGATTAAATTAGGCGCCTTCGGCGCCTCGATACTCCGGAGCCCTAGGCGGGCGCCTAGTTCGCCACCCCCTAGTTGCGTCCCTGCCCAGATCAAGAGGATTTTTCTAATGGCATTCAAAGCTCAAGAGCCGATAATAATCAAAATTTCGAATGATCATTAACAGCTCTCAAATGATATCAATCAATATTTTCTCTTCCGCAGCTTCTAATTGGTTCTAGAAAAATTATTCAATGAATCAAGAGCCATAGATAATCAAAATTTGAATTATTACCGGCTGTTGCAAATTCTCTGGAAAACTGAAGCCAATCAGTAGTGTAACAAGGCGGGTTCCACTACAAAACTCTGACCATAACCTCAATCTTGCATTCTTGACACGAAGGTGGATGTGCGACAAGAATGGGTTCGAAATTACAGGTTCGTGTAGTATGGAGTTTGCGTGGAAGGTTGTGAAGTTGCGGTGGCGCCATGACGTAACCCACGTGACCCTGGCCGCTATAACGTCATCACAGCACACAAGACTCGAACCATAATTAAATATACGTAGCGACATATAAACGATATCATATGAAACATTCCCTTACACGAACCTTAATATCGATTTGCCCATCGAGGGGCTCAGTGCATCTAAGTGCCGCCACTGGACTCAATAGTTTGATTCAATTTGACTCAACTTCTTTTGGTTGCAGACGATGTTCGTCCTTGACGCTTGGTGGAAAAGATGCAAAAACCTATCACAAGCCAAATCCAAGCCTGGCAGAGAACTAATTATATTTTTGATGATTTCCAATTTAGCAATGTGGAGTATTAATACACTTGAGAAAAATAAAGCTGAATTTCGTCCGACACATCTTAATTTTTTTGGTAGGAATTTACCTATAATGTATGAAATCTGAATCAATTATCTTTACTTATAGGTGATTGGGGTTGGACAATCATAACACACATCTCCATGCCTCTGGCGATCTTTTACAGATTCCATTCGACAATTTGCCTTTTCGAAGTTTGGAAAACAGTTTACAAAATTAAATCCAATTTTAAAAACCCATTATTCCCTGTGAGTATGTGAAACCAAGTTTATCATAATATTAATAAAATATCTTTCATGTGCAATGATTGTTTCATTTTAAATTTAATTTATATTCCATACTCTTCACTGGTGCACAAACAATCCGCTAGAAAAAGCAATATTCAAATATAGGCCTTGCATCATTGACAAAATACAATTGCTAAGAGCCCAACCTACTGGACCGTCATCGTTGGCTATAATAGAAGTTTTTTTTATGACCAGCTTCCCTTTGGAATTTAGTTAGTTCCATGCATGATCGAGTAGGTTAACTAGTTCAATTGTGTGAACACGATATGTGAGCAGGCTTTGAAACGAATGAAGCGGCGGAGTTTGAAATCGAATAAATGTTTTTTTGTTGGAGGTTAATTGAAAAAATAATCTAGGTTTTTGCAATTTACCTAGACAATTTTTATTCATGGTTGCTTAAATTTTAATAAGGTGAATATGAGCTTTTGCCATTCCAGTAACCGTGAAAGCTACTTTTTAATTCGCAAATAAACGTTCATGTAAAAATGTTTGTCGACTCATATTTCCTGGAACGGAATTTTGAGTCAAAGGTTTTAATAAAACCAGAAGAGATTTAATAAGGTTTTACGGTTTATTGGTAGCATCACAACTTGATTATTTTTGTAAAGTGCGGGAAGTTTTTGAAACTCAATGCGGTATGCAATCATATAGAGACTTTCATTAACAGTAACTACATAATATGAAGATTTTTGCAATATGTCAAACCTCAGCATGATCAATAGCTGTCTATCTCAGGTAATAAGCCGTTGATAATGATTTGATCAAGCCTCTCTCCTTTTTCAATAGATTTTTGGATGATGTCTTTCAGTAAGCCTGCTTAGCAGCTATGGATACAATATTAAACCAAAAGATAATGCCAATAAATAGCCTTTTTATTATCAGCTACAAAAATGTATCTTATCTTATACTAAACCTATGCATGATAAAAATAAAACTCTCCAACAATATGCTGAAAGATTCTAATGCCCCGAAGGCATATAGGCAAACTTCCAAATGTCACCGATACAGACCGAAGAATGGAACCTAAACCGAAAAAACTAAAACAACAAACCAACAAAATACTCAACACATTACCTATAAAACATCATCAAAGGTAAACACATGTGTCCAACAATGCTCCACAACTCTTTCGAGTAAAATTCTTGCCTGTACTGGTCCAAGCCGTGAGATTTGACTTCGAAAGTTTGCATGACCCACATAGCGACATTGCAAATTACTAAAAAAGTAACAAACTCTCTTCCTGGTTTTTTTTTGCGCAACACTTTACTGTTACTAGATCTTGCCATACCATCAATTATAAAAGGTGTTTGGATGAGAACTTGAATAAGCTATAATAAAAATCAAATAAGTATTGAGGATTGCTAAAAAATAAATACTTGCCTCAAATAAGACAACAACAACAGCCAAAACATTTCCAAAAATCACTCCAGGTAATAAGCTGAAAAGACCATAGACGAAAAATGCAGGTAAACATATAAGGCACAAAAAGTTATCCAAAGAGTTATGAGCCATTTCGTTAACGTCTAATTTAATCATTTGGAAGTAGGCAAAAACTACAGCCAAAATCATACAGAACATAATAGCCGCTTTAGTTGATTGGTTTATTGTAAGCCCAATTTCAGCCAACTCAGTTGAACTAAAAATACCAATAATTGAATAAGTGCTTAGGAAATTGAATTATTTATTCTTACTTGTTGTAATAGGTGACGAAAAACAAAATAACACTAACAAACGCAAAAACCAAAACAATAAATCCTGAAAACAATCCTTTGTTGGAGGCATGACAATCTGCGTGAATAGTGACGTTGCTTTCAGGCTCTGAGGCTCTTCTATCATTTCTGCACTCTCTAGTATCTTCACCGTGATGGTGAGACTTGTCTTCTGGAGTACACAAGCCAATGTTGATCCAGACAATGTAAATTATTCCAGCTGAAATTGTTATTGGAAATAATTTACAGTAAAAGTAGGTTGATTTATGAAATTACCGACTAAAATGCTATATTCAACGCTGAATGGGTATAAATATGGCGAGTAGTTTTGATAGATGACATTCATTTCGTCGTGCTCGCAAATTGCAGTGAATCTTCTTGGTGTTATCACGGAGACTTTTGAATAATCTGGAAAAAATAATAATAGTTATAACTCATTAGGCAAACTCAATGGATAACCGAACTACAGTTGTTTCTCTCACTTGCAAATAGACCCGCCCCCGTAATTTTATTTTACAGTACCTGCCCAAGGAAATAATAAATACCATCAAATAATAATAGAGTATTTGGGGCCGATGCTACATTGGTGTCAGGTGTGGGGTATATTATTTGTACATTGGGAGCAAGTGTGAGGTTCTTTTAATTGTATTTTGAAAGCATCGGTAGAGTTATAAATATTTTGTCACTTAAGAGCAACTGTAATCTCATTAGTTAAATTTAAGTGGATAATAACCGAGCGATTTGAAAGATGTCCAACCCTCCGAGCCCATTACCGCAAACCTACACCACCATGCCAAACTTTTTTGAAGGATTATATTCCATATCTACCTATGATGGAACTATTAATGCCGAAGAATTTCTGAATGTTCTAGAAGATATCAGTATTTTAGCTGACTGGACAGACAAACACAATATTTCAGTAGCCCGATTGAAACTGAAACATCGAGCCAAGCAGTACATACAAGCAGAATCAACCCTAAAAGTCACCATAAGCTGGACTCTGCTGAAGGACAGTCTAAAAACTCAGTTTGGCAGGCATTATGTAAAAGAGACAGTTATGAAACATTTCATTGAGTGCAAGCAAAGGACTGGTGAAGCATGTAAACAGTACCTGACTAGATTGAAGGTGTTGAAACACATAACTGCTACATTCACAGGGAATTTGACCACCGATAAATTGTTGGTAGACAAATTATTAGAAGATATACCCACCCAGTTTACCCTGTACCCCTTGATATCCAAATGTACGATGAAAATATTGATGCTGATTAGTTATATATTTTATTTTACAGTACCTGCTCAAGGAAATAATAAATACCATCAAATATGAACGCTAGCGTAAATTGCTAGCATCTAACCTAAATAATAGAGTATTTGGCGCGGATGCTACATTGGTGTCAGGTGTGGGGTGTGGGGTATAATATTTGTACATTGGGAGCAACTGTGAGGTTCTTATAACCCGGGAGTACACGCGCGTCGGTCAAAAAGACCGACCATTGATAAAATCAGTAATCACGCCACTGGTACAAAGATGAGAGTTTTGTCCATCCAGGAATGTCTGATGCAGGTTTTCCACTACCCATTGGCCCAAAGCTATATTGGTTTTTGGTTGAAGAAGGGTTCGTTGTTTCCATAGTCGGTGCTTTTGACTAGGCGCGTGAACCTGAGTATCTGAAATATTTGTGTTCAAAATTGGCATTTTCTGATATTGGGAGTACTTTTGGCTGTCGATAATACGGTGACTGTACTGCATAATATAATTTCCTTTGTAATACTTATGAATTCTAGGAATTATAGTGCTTGTACACTTTTTTCGCGGAGACGGTCCTTAACGTATCCTGAACGCTAAGGCATGACTTCCGCAGGTAATATTTGAAAGTTTCATGTCTCTATTGATAACAAAACTTGCGTAGGTCATGCCTTAGGTTTCAGGATACGTTTGGGACCGTTTCCGCGAAAAAAGCTAATAATTCATGTGAACTTTAGGGCAATCGGTCGATTTGACCGAACGCGTGTAACGACGTAATTTTTTTGGCGCGTGTAATGCCGGGTTAATTGTATTTTGGAAGCATCGGTAGGGTTAAAAATATTTTGTCAACTAAGAGCAACTGTAATCTCATTAGTTAAATTTGAGTGGATAATAACCGAGTGACTTAAAAGATGTCCAACCCACCGAGCCATTACCGTAAACCCACACCACCATGCCAAACTTTTTTGAAGGATTAGATTCCATATCTACCTATGATGGAACTACTAATGCCGAAGAATTTCTGAATGTTCTAGAAGAAATCAGTATTTTAGCTGACTGGACAGAAAAACAGAAGATTTCAGTAGCCCGATTGAGCCAAGCAGTACATAGAAGCAGAATCAACCCTAAAAGTCACCATAAGCTGGACTCTGCTGAAGGACAGCTTAAAAACTCAGTTTGGCAGGCATTAGGTAGAAGAGACAGCTATGAAACATTTCATTGAGTGCAAGCAACGGACTGGTGAAGCATGTGAACAGTACCTGACTAGATTGAAGGTGTTGAAACACATAGCTGCTACATTCACCGATAAATTGTTAGACAAATTATTAGAAGCATACCCAGCCAGTTTACCCTGAACCCCTTGAAATCCAAATGTACCATGAAAGTATTGATGCTGATTAGTTAGGTACTTGGAGATGGAGCTTGACGAGCTGAAAAATTATGTGAAAAATTTAGAGAGCAATGGAAATAGTGTTAAAATGGAAAATAATGTAAGGAAAAAAAGAGACGATGACATACTCAGCAAGGGAGGATCCAACGTCACTGCACGTGATGAAGGATCAGGTTCTAACAGCGATATGCAGTCGCTGTGAAACCAAATCCAACTAACAGCTTGGAATAACCCAGGAGAAAGTTATAACGTCATCCAGGAAACTGGTCGGTTCCAGAGAAATCCATAAAGCCATTCCACTTCGACAGGTTGAAGTTATTAGTGGTCCAATGAAGAATGAGATTTTGTTGAAGGAAGGTTCTCCATCAGGGAAAAATTCTAATGAGGGTCCAGTGAAGGGCGAGATTTTGTTAAATGAAGATTTTCCATTGGAAAGAAATTCTAATAAGGGTCCAGTGAAGAACGAGATTCTGTTGAATGAAGATTTTGCGGCGTCTCTGGGAGAGAAGGTTATTATACTGCCGATGATTGATGAAGTGTGCCATGGAACCCTACGCGGAAACTTTAAGGGCTAAAGATCAACACATTAAACAATATGATGAAATTTTAACAGGCTTGCAAGTAGCACCAGTTTTGAAGAGGAAGAACAGTGAACTTCCAGGAAAATTCGGAAAAAATTTTAAGGGCCCATTAGAAAGAAATTCTAATGAAAGTCTAGTGAAGGACATGGAATTCAGAAACGAAGATGGTTTTCTGGTGATTCTGAGAGAGCAGGTGATATTACCGCAGATGAGTCAAGTGTGTCAAGCAACTCTACGCAGAGCTTTAATCCTTATAGAAAAGAAGAGGAACCCTGGAGAGGACATCCAGTATAGGCTTGTCATAGATTATCGGGAATTGAATACCATAACAAAAACTGACAATTTCCCATTACTCCATATACAAGAGACCATCGAAAAATTAGCGAGCTCTCACCTATTTTCTATCATGGATTTGGCTTCTGGTTATTTTCAAGTGCTCATATAATCAGAGGACCAGGAGAAATCAGCATTTTCAACTGCTGATAACCATTACCAATTTTTAAGAATGCCAATAGGTTTAAAGAACGCACCGGCTACTTGAAGCCGTATGATGAATCACATCTTAAAAAAAATGACGTATACCTACCGAGTGTCTTATACATCTAGACAACATAATTGTATTTTTCAAGGACGTAAACTCGCGCCTGGAACAATTGAAGCACATTTTTGAAAAGTTACGCAGAAGTAATTTAAAATTGAAACCAACAAAATGTCACTTTATGAAGAAAGAAATTGAGTATCTAGGACATCTCATATGCGAAGATAGATATACAACCCACCCCGATAAAACCAGAATAATAGACAATTATCCGGCATCCAAGAATGTCAAAGAGGCTCTTATCTCCCAGAGTTGAAGACATTATAAAATTTCCACTAATCCAGAGGGAAATGATAAGAGACAAGAATGAAGAAATTGTCGATCGAAATGAGATTAATGACATCAATTATGAAATAAGGGCGTGAGAGGAAGAATAATTTTTAGCCCGGGGACAAGAATTACCCGTAAGGCACAGAGAAGTAGCTGTAAAGTCAACACCATCTTCGTTGACCAGTCAGAAACAACTACTCCGAGGGCAAATACCTCTACCGGCGTTGAACTACACTGATTGTTCTGAGCTTTCGTTGGCAATAGAAATTGTTAGAAAAATTTTTACAGGTAATGACCAACGTGAATACAGGGACACTTCGGTCCCTGTTTGGGAATCGGCCCACTGAGCAGTGGACTCAGGCTTCCCGTGCCAATCCTTGACGCGTTTCGTCCTTGTTAGGACTCATCAGAAGGACATAGGCTGAAGTTCCCTGTCCAAGCAAAATTGAACTTCGTTGACCAGTCAGAAACAACTACTCCGAGGGCAAATACCCCTACCGGCGTTGAACTACACTGATTGGTCTGAGCTTTCGTTGGCAATAGAGTGGGCCGATTCCCAAACAGGGACCGAAGTGTCCCTGTATTCACGTTGGTCATTACCTGTAAAAATCTTTCTAACACCATCTAGAATTGTTTATATTTGTTTCAGAAAGGTGTTGGATTAGGGTATAAAAATTGTACCATTGTAATTTGGATATTTGAATGATGAATAACCGTACATCAGTTGTTTCTGTCACTTGCAAATAGACCCGCCCCCACAATTTTATTTTACAGTAGCTGCCCAAGGAAATAGTTACCAAACAAATACGACCGCTCGCAATTTACCATCTAACCTAAATAATAGATTACTTGGCGCACCGTAATATCATGAAAGTAACTTCTGCGCTTCAAGAGTACCTAATATTTCTATGTGAATGCAAAATCAAATTACCTATATATGTTTCAGTGGAATCTGAACCAATTGTCGTCTTATTCCCACTTTCTCCTTTGTAATATTTTGAATTTTGAATATATTCAGCCGTCTCTCTAAAAATCGTCCACAACCAAAAACAAAGACTGGACGCCAGACAATGCATAAATCCAAACCGATGCAAAGCTTTATTTTTATTGATGATAACCTAAAATAAAATTAATTACATCCTTTGGCACACAACCAAATAACCTATGACTCACATTTGAATATTTAAAAATAAAAAACAGCAAAGTAATAGAATAAATCGGATACAGTATCTCAATGATAAAAGTCAAAACGCTGTTGCATTCGCTGTGCTTTTCCAAATCAGAACTCAATATGACTCCGCGGTAAGTTAAAATAAGGAAGCTATGAATTAAGTGTCCAAAGCAAAAACCTACAACAAATATTTATTAGTATAATACAGCCTAATTATTGTTGCTTTACCTGCTGCTCCAATTTTCAAATAAAAATTGCTCGAGTGCCTGTCTTGGTTGAAACAATACTTGTGGTCTAATTGGTTCCTTAAAGCCAACGCCTCTTGTAATGTTTCATCATATATAACGCCCTCGTCAGTTTCTTTGAATTCCATATGCTCTGGCTGTATGTCTTCCATTAGTTTTTCGAATCGTTTTTTCTTGCCATTATACAAAGCTATGTCCACGTTAAGATAGAGCAAGTAGGATAAGGCTAAGCCCAACAGGATAAGACTAAACCCCTTAAATTGATTTCATGTTTACTGGAATAAGTAATTATATTTACTCACCTCTGCTAAGTAGTCAACAAAGTCTTTTTCGTCTAATTCAAAAGAGTCAATGACGTAAAATGATACTCCTAGTGTGACTATTAGGATGGCGTAAATGGTACTGCCACTCAAGAATAGGATGTCCCTAAAAATGTATGTACAGGTGTAAGAATTAGGATACAAATGCAATCTGGAATAGGTAGCTAAAAGAGGACTAACTTCAGATGAATCGATGGCATATATTTTAACATCAGTTTGAAAGTTAAAAAGTCCATGATGATGACTCTTGACTTACGTGCACCGAGTAACAAACCAATGTGTCATCAAAAAATCGAGTTTTCATCCCTTTGAATTTTGATTTCAAAATATTCAAACCTCAATTGCTCGGTAACCGTTGAACAAATTGCATTGACATTTTCAGCATTTGTAGCTCTTATTTAACTCTAAATGACCTGTTATTTACAATATTCCCAGATTTATAGTTTTTGAGAAAATTGAGTTTAATCTTTTTAACAAAATTTGAACTAAAAGTCAACTTTAAGGGTTAATTGTATTGTTTATATTATTATATATTAAACTATTTGAGCTATTAAACTCAATTTTACACAGATTTATAGATAATTTAATGCTCTTCCCAATGATATATAATTTATTCAAATTTGTTTGAAATTTAACAAAGATATGGGCAACTGCTCATGACCATGTCAAAATTTTGAAAATTTTCCAGAACCAAAAATAGGATTTCCTTTTAATTTTTTTTTTCTGGTGAAAATGGCCATTTGAAATGATGTCTATGTTGTTTTTCCCTAATTTTGACTCGCTGTATAGATTGGTAAAGTCAAAATTGAGCAAAACTGGAAAATAAAAAAATCGAATTTGAATTCTAATTTCAAAATATTCAAATCTCAATTGCTCGGTAGATAACCGTTGAGCAAATTGCATTGAAATTTTTAACGTTTGTAGCTCTTATTTTGCTCTAAATGGCCTGTTATTTACAATATTCCCAAATTTATGGTTTTTAAGCAAATTGAGTTTGAAGTTTTTGACAAAATTTGGACTAAAAGTCAACTTTGCGGGTTAATTGCTCAAAAACTATTTAAGCTATCAAACTCAATTTTACACAGATTTATAGAGAATTTAATGCCCTTTCTAATGATACATAATTTATTTCAATTTACTCGAAATTTAACAAAGATATGGGCAATTTATGCAGAATTCCATTTAAATTATGAGAAATGTTAAAGAAATTATGTGAAATTTGATAGAAATTATGCGAAAATATATTGTAATTTCTTTTGGAATTTCCAGGTATGACATGGAATTCCATTTAATTTCAATAAAATATCTGAGAAATGACAAAAAAAAAAAAAATGTTAAATTTTAGCAAAATTCCATGGAAATTATGCGGAATTCCATAGAAATTATGTGGAATTTCCTAAAATTTTCGCGGAATTCCATATACTGAATTCTATCAAAAATATGCGGAATTCAAGTGAAATTAAAGGAGTAATGACGTGAAATTCCAAAGAAAAAATAATTAATTTTGAGAAAAATTACATGGAATTCTATAGGAATTTTCCAAAACTCTATAAAAATTATGCGAAGATTTATAGAAATTATGCGAAATTTCAGTAAAATTAAATGAAATTCCGTAAAAAATATGCAAAATTTTATTGAAATTATGACATCGATTTTTATAGAAATTATGAAAAATTCTATAAAAATCATGCGAAAATTCATTGAAATTAAATGAAACTCTGGGAAAATGGCGTACAGTTTCAAAAAAATCGTGAGTTTCAATTAAATTACATAAAAACCCATAGAAATTATGTGGAATTCCACAAAAATTATGTTAAATTCCATAAAAATTTGCGTGAAAACTATGAAGAATTCCATTGAAATTATGCCAAATCCCATTAAAATTATGCGGAATTCTAGTGGAATTTAATGAAAAACGACACAGAATTCAAAAAAAAAGCGTTGAGTTTGAAAAAAAATTTAAATCCCATAATAATTATGTAAATTTAGGTTGTATGGAATTCCATAAAAATTATGCGAAATTTCAAAGAAACTATGCAAAAGTCCAAAAAATTTCTGCGGAATTCTATAGAAAATATGCATTAATCTATAAAAACTATGCAAACTTCTACTCAAATTATGCGGAATTTCATAAAAATTGTGAGCAATTGAATAAAATTACAGTAAAATTTAATAAAATTCCAGGGATACGAAGTAGAACTTCAAACAAAAATATGTGGAATTCCGGTAAAATTCTGAAATTCCGATGAAATTCCATTAATTTTCCTGGAATTCCAAGTAAGTTCTTGAAAATTTCAAATTATTCTCGTGAAATTTAAAAAAAAAAATATGATATTTGGTAGAATTCCAGAGAAATTTCATGGAATTACGAGGAATTTGGGTCTACAATTGTTTTTTAAATTTACTAAAAAAAAAAAAAAATCTAGTAGATACATTTCAGAGACCTTGACACCGTCGTTACGGTTGCGCTGAATTTTACTCTATAGTTTAAAATTCAGGCAAATTTTTATTAATCAATTAATAATGATTATTGAAATTTGAAATAACTAATAAGTAATAAGCTACTAACAACTTACTCAAATATCAAAAATCTTGTGAAATTATTTGGGTTAGTTTGGGTTAGTGGAATTACGTGGAATTCCGATTAAATTCCATTAATTTTCCAGGAATTCTAGAAAATTCCCCTAAAAAGTACCTATACTTACTTGAAATTCTCGTGAAATTTAAATATTTCTTGTAAAATTATTTGGAGGTTCAGTGAAATTCCGGTAAAATTATGCGGAATTTCGAAAATATCCCAATGGATTCCATCAATTTTCCAGAAAATTTCACGCAATTCTCCACTCGGAATTCCAAGTTATTCTCGTAAAATTCCAGAAAATTCCCGTAACAATTACATTAAATTTTTATGCAACTTTAGGAAATTCTTGTGAAATTATTTAGTGGAATTACGTGGGATTCCGGTAAAATTATGTGATACTACTGCGAAAAAATTACGACGAAATTTTCCGAGTATTCGACTCAATGCCTCCGGAATTTTAAGTTAGGTATTCTCGTGAAATTCCAGAAAATTCCCATGAAATTCCAACACATGTACGCTTTTAAAGTTACTTGTAATTTCAGTGGAATTTTGAAGAATCATCACTTGGAATTCTCGTAAAATTGAAGAAAAAATCGCAAAAATTTCCATAAATTACATAAAATTCTTGTGAAATTACTTAAATTTTTTATTGAATTCCCAAAAATTCTCGTGAAATTACATGGAATTTCCGTGGAGTATCTCAAAATTCAGGTTAAATTCTGAAATAATGTACAATGTAAAATTCCGAAAAGTTCTTGTGAAATTACTTAATACTTTAGCAATATTCTTGTGGAGTAAATCGGAATTTTAGTGGAATTTAAAAAAAAAAAATGTGAAATTCCAGAAAATTTCTTTAAAGTTGTTTGGAATTCCCGTGGAATTGAAAAAAAAAACCTTTCCTACGGAATAACTAGAAATTCCATATTTCCATGAAATAATGTACTTGAAATTTCATTGAAATTCCGAGAAAAATCCTGTGAAATTACTCGAAATTCCAAAAAATTCTTCTGAAATTTCTAACGTAATTTTACTGAAATAAAATTACTTGACTCGAGAAATTCCAACAAATTCACAAAAAACTACTTAAGAAACCGTATAAATAATTATGAAATTTCAAAAAAGGATCGTGAAATTATTTTTCAAATTTCGGCAAAATACCCAGGAATTTTTAGGAAATAACTCAGAATTTCAGTGGAATTGAAAAAAAATTTACGTGAAATGACCTGGAATACTCATGAACTATTTGTGAAATTACATGGAAATCCAAAAAATTCCTGTAAAAATACAGAAAATTTCTTTCAAACTAATTGAAATTTTAGTAGAATTCCGAAGAATTTTTAGAGAATTCTGGTGTGCAATTTATGAACAGTCTATGAACATTCCTAGAACATTCTATGATAAGAATTTCATTGGAATTTTGAAAAATTCTTTTAAAATTATATGAAATTCTCATGAAATATCAGAAAATTCCTAGGAAAATCGCCATTTGCTTTTTTATTTTTCTTTCGGCCTTAAGATGTGCCGTAGCCCGGAGGGTCAAATTAACATTTCGTCGTATTTTTTGCTCCTCTATCCGATAGAATTTTTTTTTTTTTTTTTTAATTCATAATTTGAGTTTTTTTGACGAAAAAATTCGAACTTTTTCGATACCGTGGGAAAATAGGCGAATTTTGCTGTTTTAGCTGGTTTTCACTGGTTTTGTGCTATTTTCACTGCTTTTCACTGATTTTATGCTGGTCTTGTATAGTTCAGCACAAAACCTGCTAAACCAACAAACAACAGTGAGAAGCAGCAAAATCCAGCACAAAACCAGCTAAACCAGGGAAAATTAGCACAAAACTACCACAATATTAACACAAAACCAACTAATAACCAGCACAAAGCCGATTTTTTCATGGATCTGAAAAGATCCCAGGCTCAAGTGAACCTATAGGTACCTAATGAGAAAATTGAGAAGCTGATCATACTGAAACTTCAAATTCATCCAGTGGAAAACAGCAAAAAGAGAAATTCATGAAAATTAATTGAATCATAAATCAAAGAAAATGCACCCCATGACATTTTTATGATTTTCTGGAGAATTACTCGAAAGAAAATTAGTTACAAGGTTAGAAGCTCATCATACTGAAATTGAAATTTATTCCAGTGGAAAAGAGCCGAAAGAGAATTCCATGAAAATCAACTCCCAAAAACTATGAAATGAGGAAAATCCACCTCCTCCCATTTTGATAGTTTTCTAGAAAACCAGTAACAGGGCATTTTTGAAACTTTTTGGGTGAAAAGAGAAAAGTACATAGGGAGTCACTTGAGCCTGGGAACTTTTTCCATACCGTGGGAAAATTGGCGGATTTGGCTGGTTTAGCTGATTTTGTTCCAGTTTTCACTGATTTTGTGCTAATTCTCACTGCTTTTCATTGGTTTTGTATAAGTCAGCACAAAACCTGCTAGACCAGCAAACCATCAGTGAAAACCAACAAAAACCAGCACAAAACCAGCACCAACAAAATCCAGCACAAAACCAGCAAAATCCGCCGATTTTCTCACGGATCGAAAAAGTTTCCAGGCTCAAGTGACCCTATAGGTACCTAATGAGAGAAGTAAGCAGCTGATCATACTAAAACTTCAAATTAATCCAGTGAAAAACAAGAAGAGAAATTCATGAAAATCTAATAAATCATAAATCAAAGAAAATGCACCCCATGACATTTTTATGATTATCTTGAGAAGTAGTGGGAAAAAAATTAGTTGAAAAGTTGGAAACATCATACTGAAATTGAAATTTTTTCCAGTGGAAAAGAGTCGAAAGAGAATTCCATGAAAATCAACTCCCAAAAACTATGAAATGAGGAAAATCCACCTCCTCCCATTTTGATAGTTTTCTAGAAAACCAGTAACAGGGCATTTTTGAAACTTTTTGGGTGAAAAGAGAAAAGTATACGTAGGGGTCACTTGAGCCTGGGAACTTTTTCCATACCGTGGGAAAATTGGCGGATTTGGCTGGTTTAGCTGATTTTGTTCCAGTTTTCACTGATTTTGTGCTAATTCTCACTGCAAATTGGTTTTGTATAAGTCAGCACAAAACCTGCTAGACTACCAAACCATCAGTGAAAACCAACAAAAACCAGCCCAAAACCAGCACCAACAAAATCCAGCACAAAACCAGCAAAATCCGCCGATTTTCTCACGGATCGAAAAAGTTCTCAGGCTCAAGTGACCCTATAGGTACCTAATGAGAGAAGTAAGCAGCTGATCATACTAAAACTTCAAATTAATCCAGTGAAAATCAAGAAGAAGAGAAATTCATGAAAATCTAATAAATCATAAATCAAAGAAAATGCACCCCATGACATTTTTATGATTATCTTGAGACGTAGTGGGAAAAAAATTAGTTAAAAAGTTGGAAACATCATACTGAAATTGAAATTTTTTGCAGTGGAAAAGAGCCAAAAGAGAATTCCATGAAAATTAACTCCCAAAAACTATGAAATGAGGAAAATCCACCTCCTCCCATTTTGATAGTTTTCTAGAAAACCAGTAACAGGGCATTTTTGAAACTTTTTGGGTGAAAAGAGAAAAGTATACGTAGGGGTCACTTGAGCCTGGGAAATTTTTCGATACCGTGGGAAAATTGGCGGATTTTGCTGGTTTTGTGCTGGTTTCCACTGGTTTCGTGCTAATTTTCCCTGCTTTTCACTAGTTTGATGCTGGTTTTGTATAATTCAGCACAAAACTTGTTAAATCAACAAACAACAGTGAAAACCAGCAAAATCCAGCACAAGAGCAGCTAAACCAGTAAAAATGAGCAAAAAACTAGCACAAATAAACCAGCTAAACCAGCACAAAACCAGCCAAATCCGCCGCTTTTCTCATAGATCGCAAAAGTTCCCAGGCTCAAGTGACCCTATAATGAAAATCAAATAAATCATAAATCAAAAAAAAAAATGCACCCTGCACCTCATTACATTTTTATGATTTACTAGAGAATTAGTGGGAAGAAAATTAGTTACAAAGTTAGAAGCTCATCATACTTAAATTGAAATTTATTCCACTGGAAAAGAGCCGAAAGAGAATTCCATAAAAACCAACTTCCAAAAAAAATTAAATGAGGCAAATCCACTTTCTCCCATGTTAATTGTTTTCTGGAGAACCAGTGAGAGGACATTTTCAAAACTTTTTGCTGAAAAGAGAAAAGTACGTAGAGGGTCACTTGAGCCTGGGAACTTTTTCGATACCGTGGGAAAATTGGCCGATTTTGTTGGTTTAGTTGGTTTTGTGCTAGTTTTCACTAGCCTTCGATTTTTTTTTTTAAATTTTTAAAGCGTCCTAACTCGAAAAGGATAAGCTCGGGAGAAGAACTTCAAATACAAAACTTATAGATCTCGTCAAGTACTACAAAAAAGCCTATAAGATGTATCCCGCCACGAGACACCGTTTTCGATAAAATCGACCTGGAAAATTTTAACAAAATTAAAAAGAATTTCAACTTTGACAGCCTTCAAATGAAAAATTAAGTTGTTGTCTATCAATATACACTTACGTAAACATTTTCTTTTTAGCTTCAGGCGTTGTAGGCAATTTATGATGCGAACTACTACTGGTCAGAGGCGTCATTGGTCGTCTACTTTCGGTAAAATCTCGTATTTGGTAAGGCCCATTCGGATAGACTACACCACTTTCCAAGGAAAAATACGGAGCAAATTGTTCTTGTGCCGTCAACGTGGAATTGCTGTGATTCAATGAGTTGTAATGAATCTGATCGTCGTAGGAATTAGTTGAGTTGTATAGGCTTCTTGGCCTGCTTCCTTGGACTATTGGAAGTATCATGCTTCTTGGATCCTGGAATATAATGATATCAGATATATTGAATCGAAAAGTAAAATACTTACATTGCTGTGCTGTTGCCAGCTGAAATATTAGTTGTGGGATGTTTTCACCCAAAATCATCAAGGATTATAAGGGATTATTCTTCTATAGATAATTTTCCAGCAAAGATAGTTCATTATATTATTTTTTTTTCTGGATGATGGATTGAATGCAATTAACTCAATAACTTGCGGTAATTAAAGGATAAAAGGGCCCGCAGAGTTGAGTGCAAACCAAACAAAAATTTTCGATAAAAACAAACCGGACCTATCGAGGAGCTCGAAGACTTGATTACGGCCTGTAAATTTCTTTTTGCCTCCCGACAACGGTCGGAAAATTGTGAAAGCGCTTGGAAAAACTCGATTGCCTTCGATCAAGACTGTTTTACTAGCAATTTTATGCTTTTCGTTACACTCTAGAGTGGGCTTTCGATGGGAACGGAGGCGGAGATTGGAGGGCTGCTGTCTATTTTTGTTTATCTTTTACTTAATTAGAACATCTTATAATGGAGTGTTTGTATGTGCTCGAGTATATATTGGAACAGCAAGTATTGAAATATTTTACCTTTTGTCTACTCCGTCCATGTGGATTTCTGATCCTAATCAAATCTGAAGTCGAATGAGCGTGTCTTATATTTGAAGATCCGCTTAATCTGATATTGTCCCTAGAAAACTGTTTTGCCAATACTGGTTTCCTGAAGACGACTTCGCTGTTGGCAATCGAAACGTTGTCGCCTGCAATGGTTTCGGGTATAGTCTGAGGCTGGAGTTTGGGTGATTGGTCATTTTTGTTAGCCTAAAGAAATGTTGAAAAATTAAATATTTTGAAAATACTGTGTTACATTTTCAGTTGCTGTTGTAACTATATGTATCATTTAAGTGTCTTAATATGTTTGCATGCATTTGTTGCAACTAATGAGCTTAAAATATCAAATTGTTTCAACTTTATAGGTAGGGAAATTACGGATCTAAAAGTGATTTTTCCAATTTATCTGTTTGAAAAGGAAGTCCAATATTATTATAGGATTACCGTATATCCTGATTTAATTAGGCCTGTTAATTGGTTTTTTAAATCCCTGTCGATTGATGAAAACAACAATATTCAATTAATTTGGAAAAACAATATGCAATTTCATGAATCAGGAATATCAATCTCTCTTGTGAAGATTTAAATGGACTGAGCAGATATTTGTGGTCAAAAATTAAAATTTATGGTTGGAGAAACGTAACTGTAGTCTATCGCAATGGAATTTAGTGAAAATATTGTACAAATTAGTTTTACTTTTCTCCATCCATAAATTTGTGAATAATTTTCACTAACGATAAAGTGAAAATCCATTGGAAAAGAATTGAACTATTTCCAACTATAAAACATGTCCACATAGAAAAACTTATAGGGTTTCAATAGCAATATATGACGTAGTTTAATCCTTTAATACTTTGATATTTCTATATAGGATCACATTTTGAAGTATGTAGTTGAGATCTAGATAGACAATCTTGATGAAAAAGCAATAAACATAAAGTATTCATTAAAAAAAATTTACTTAGATAAAACATTCTGGAATTCGGATATATTTATGACTTTTAAGTTAAGCTCACTGTAAATTAATTTATGGATTTATTGTTCCGTCATTATTTTTATAATTTATTCATAATTCTATTGAGCAAAATCTTTCCACCAGAATTACAAATATGTTTTCTTACAATGTGCTGACTTCAACTGGAATATATTTTGCCTTAAAAAAGATTTATATAGTTAAATGGGAATTGGGAATCGTTATATGAATACTCCTGAATTTATTTCAGTTGAACTCAACATAATGTTTATTGAATATGATTGAGAAGATTCTTACCCCATGAATTGCTTCAAAAACTTCATCTTCTACAGAATTCTGTTGTGTATAAACTGGTAAAGCATGAGTTCCAATTGCAAAGAAACTTTTTCCGTCCCCATGCATTATAATTCACCAACTCCAAAACAATAATGCAATTAAACAAGACGATAAGTTTTAAGAAGATAATGATTATCTCCCTATTAAAGGCGGATAATTTATTGATTGGTTTTGGAAATTGACAATGTTTTGTTAAGGTTGATTTATGGCGAATTTTTCAATAATTATTCGGTTGTTTTTAAGGATTATGGTACGGTGGCGAACTTAATATTTACTCAACAAAAGATAAAGTTCGGTGAATTTGAAAGTCTGACTATTGATATTTATAGAATGACTTTATATTGATAGGAATAATACCAAGTAATTAGTATAGCTGTATGAAAAAATGTGTATCCAGTACCCACTTGTGAAACAGAGTGATACCAGTGGCCGGATGGAGAACCATACGAAAATATACAAGACTGTAGTATGGTATGATTATTCGCAAACTGTAGGTACACGGGTTTTTTTTTATGTATTGACACCCCACCTACAGATGAAAGGTGTAAATACAAAAGTTGTTCAGTATTGACTAAATTTTTAGAATCCATGGTCAAAAATAAAAATTGAATGTCAGAAATGTGAAATCTTGCATACTTTCAGCTTTTTTCAAATGGGATGCGCTATATTTGGTTCTATATTCTTGAAGAACACAATTCCCCGATTCCAAAACTATATAGTTTGTCTATATTTGGTTGAGCCTTCTCCAACATATTTTGGTTCTAAAAATTTTAGAAATACTATCAGAGAAACCAAGTACCTAAAATTTTACCTGCAGCTTTCACTTGTACAGGTAGAATGGTTCACAAAAGAATATAGAATGAAATATAAGGCATCCCATTTGAAAAAAGCTGTAAGCATGCAAAATTTCACATTTTTGACTTTCAAATTTTGTTTCTGACCATGGTTGAATAAATGAATGAATTAATTGGGGGTTTTGCTACACTGCGACCTGCATAGATCTATTGTGTCCACCTTCTTGGCGCTCCAGTTGATGTTAAAGCACCTCATCCAGCCTTAATCCTTTTATGAAAGCAAGTACTCTGGATGGTTCTATAGATGGAAATTCTTCCCGTCCCACGATGTAGCATCCGAAGCAGGCCATTCGTGTATTCCCGATCGCCTCGCATTCCGTTAGAAGGTGTTCAGGAGTTTCCTCCCCTTCCTCACAGGGCCGGCAGCTGTTCTCGTTTTCAATTTTAATTCTCTCAAAGTGCCCTCTTAACCGGCAGTGGCCTGTGAGGAATCCGGTGAGAATGCGGAGATAGTTTTTACGTAGTGATGTGAGGTCTTTAGGTCCCCCTGGGTTAGGGTGCCCAAGAAACATCTTCGATTGCCTCAACCCTGGAAGTTGCTCCCAGAGATTGTTCCATTTGGTCCGCTCTTCCTTTCTGAAGACTTTTTCATAGGTGTGTTTCCCTATGCCGCAGAAAGGTTCCGGTCCTGAAATCGGGGTCTGTGCCCCTAATTTCCCTAGTTGGCCCGCCTTCTCGTTGCCTACAATCCCTTCGTGCCCCAGTATCCACTGGAGGGATATTCTGTTATCCTTATTGGGAAATGGACTATAAAATAAAAGAACTTGTTAATTATCGATATTCAATATATTTATTATATCGAACACAGCGTGGAAAGCAGAGCGTGTGAACTCCTTGAAAATAACTATAGGAACTGACTCGACATCAAAACAAAGAATTACAAACCCTTTCTTAAGTAAATGATTCCTCATCTGTTTATCTTACATATAAAAACTATTATAAACACATTCAGTTAGCCATAGCTGCGATATAAATTAGCAAAGTATAGACTAATGATCAAAATTTAATTTATTAATTTTTGTTTCACTGATATGAATATCATTTTATCCAACAATCCTTGCCCAGTTTGTTTAACTTGTCCTGTCAATCCCAAACCATTCTGGAGCTGATTATTGGTGAGCTCAGCGCTTTAATGGCTGCTTGACTGTCGGAGAATATGACAATCTCTCTTTTTCTGTAGTTTCTGTCAAGATTGAACTCAGCACATCTACTTATAGCGTTTATTTCCGCCTGAAATATGTCCGGGTATTTTCTTATTGCTTCAGAGGACTTATTTCCAGGCCCAAATACTCCAGCTCCGGTCCCTTGTTCGGTTCTTGACCCATCGGTGTACCATTTTATGGCTTTCTGCTGAGTTTCAAAAATGGATGTGGTATTTTCTTTCCATTCTTCTCTGCTTCTTATCACTACTCTGAAGTGTTTGTCCAGGTGATGTATTTTAGTCATATCGTCCCTGGGGAGCTCGAGGAGCGGAATAAGCCTGGTCAGAGATGCTAGTTCTCTCCATCCTAGCCAACCTCCCTCGGCAGCTTCTTCCCTCGTAATTCTAGTCATTGCTCGTCTGGCAGCCCCCTTCGCCACAATGTGAATAGGTGCTTGACCTATAATTGTCTCGATGGCTGCTGTGGGACAAGTTCTCATTGCGCCTGTAATACATGTGCAGGCCAGGCGCTGTAGTTTGTTGAGAGCTGCTTTTATGTTCTGCTTCTCAACTGCATTGAACCAGACTACCGATCCGTATAGTAGAGCTGGTCTTACTATCATGGTGTACGTCCATGCCAAGATCCCTGGTTTGCATCTCCAGGATTTACCCACGAGGCTTCGGCACACCATGAGAGCCCTCGTAGCCTTGGGCCAGCTCCCTCGATGTGTTTGTTCCATCTGAGTTTGCGGTCCAGCGTTACGCCGAGATATCTGACTTCCGATGCCGGTATAATGATAGTTCCGTGTATCCGGATGTCCCTCATTCTAGAAACTTCTCTCGTCCTAGTGAAAGGCACTACAGTGGTTTTCGATGGGTTCATCTCCAGTCCCACTGTTTTACACCAATCCTCCGTTGCTTTAAGTCCGGTCTGTATGGGTTCACACAGGATGCCCTCGAACTTTCCTCTTGCCATGATGACGATGTTATCGGCATACCCAACGCAGTCCAGGCCCAGGTTATTCAGTATTTCTAGCAATTCGTCCACCACCAAGCTCCACATCAGGGGTGAGCATACTCCGCCCTGGGGAGTGCCTCTAGTGGTGCTCACCTCAATAGACTTGGTGCTACTGAAGTCTCTGCTGTCCTTGTGGCAAGCATCCTACACATCCATCGGGATATTGAGTCGTTAAATTCCCAACATGGGATGTGTTGTCGAAGGCGCCAGCGATGTCTAGGAAAGCGCACAGTGCGACTTCCTTCCCTTCCAAAGATTCTTGTATCCTACTCGTCAGTTGGAACAGAGCTGTCTCAGTGGATCTACCTGCTCTGTAAGCGTGCTGATTCGCGTTCAGCGGCCGCCTTTCCAATGTAGGGAAAATGATATAGCTATCTACTGCCTTCTCCATTATCTTTAAAATGAACAATGTGAGGCTTATTAGTCTGAAGAATCTGGGGTCTGTCCCATCCTTCTTGCCTACCTTCGGAATGAAAGTGACTCTTGCCCTTATCCATATTTGAGGTATATATCCCATTGCCATGCTGCTTCTGGTTATACCTACAAGGTGCGGTATGATCTCTGTTTTTCCTCTTTGTAGGAGTGCTGGAAAGATCTCGTCCACTCCTGGCGATTTCAGAGGTTCGAATGTGTTCAATGCCCATTCGAGCCGCTTATTGGTGAGTACTACTTTTGCTATTTCCCGAACGTCTGGGGTATGAACTTTCCTCACTTCTGTTTGCTGCCTGGGAAGTGTTTGCTTAAAAGAAGGAGCGCACGCTCTTCTTCCCCTTCCGTGTAGGTTCCATCTGGCTTCTTAAGAGCCATTGTCAAACACATTTCTTTGTTGTATTCTGTGAGGGCCTCTGTGCACCGCTGCCACTCTCCGGTTCTCCTGGCTGTGTTGAATAAACACCGAGCCTGGGTCCGGAGGCGTGCCAGCTTTGCATTCCACCATAGGGCCACACTCGAGCATTCTTTCGAAACCACGTGGCAGTTAGAGTCAAAGGCCTCTATTACTGCTTAGTTCACAAGCCCTACTTTCTCTTCCAGTTCTAGGGATTTCCTATTCTTCCTGGGTTGATTGCTTTGAGATTTTCCTCCAAATTGACTCTGTATAAATCCCAGTTTGTTCTCCTAGGATTTCTCCTGAGTTTTGCTTTGGAGGTGCTTATTTCTAGGCTGAACTCTATGATCCTGTGATCAGACAGGGAGGGTTCAGCCGAGACTCTCCAGTTTTTCACGTAGTTCTTTATTTCAGAATTACCAAATGTAATGTCTAATATTTCCTCCCTAGCCCTTGTTACAAAAGTGGGTGTATTCCCTTTATTGTAAATATCAAAGTTCATTTCAAGTAAGTGTTCAAAAAGGTACTCACCTCTGGTGTTGGGGTTTGAGCTTCCCCAGGAGATGTGGTGTGCATTCGCGTCGCCTCCCACAAGGAGTGGGATGTTTTTCCCCCTACAGTGGTGCGCAAGCTCCTGCAGTTCCACCGGGGGCGTACGTGCCCCATCCCCAGCGAAGTATGCGGATGCTATGACAATGGTCCGTTGTCAGCCTTGGTGGTAAAATTTCTCCATAATCGGCACTAGGTCCTTTATCATGAATTCTGAAACACAAATATAATTAATATGTCTTTTAATTACTATGCAGGCTCTAGGCATTTCGTGCCTGTCCATGGTTTCTAAAAATTCAGCCAAAACTGTACAACTTATGTAATTACACCTTTCTTCTACCTATGAAGATAAAGGCTGTAGGTGGGGTGTCAATATATAAAAAAAAAAACACCTTGTACATGGGAAACTGTATAATGATTCAAAAACTCTACATGGGATTTAAGTCATACTATAATGGAAAGGTCGAGGGAATAGTCAGATATAGGAAAACACCAGTGGCGTACGATCGACCTACGAATGGAGAACCTTACGAAAATATACAACACTGTAGTATGGTATGATTATTCGAAAAATCTATAAAGGCTGTATTTATTTATGACGTAGTTTATCATCATCAAACAAAGTTTTCCAATAATTTTTTGCCCAAGTCTTGTATTTGATTATCAACTACCGAATATTGATAACAATCTTTTAATCTCCAATTTATTTTTAGTAATGAAT